AAAAAGTTATCTTCTGTCAGCTCCCTCTTTTTTATCTTCACTGACTACGTTGATAAATACCTTTATCTAAAAATGCATTGTAAACATTTCATTATATAAACCATAATTGGGTCTTTAATTTGAATGCCATTAGAACAAAAACAATAACATGGTTTAAAAGGAAGATTTTTAATCTGGTAATTTCATACTATTGCCATTACAGTAACATTACCCCTTGCCCCCACATAGAGTTACTCTTTGGATGATTTTGTTTACTTTTATAAAGCGCTTTTTTGCATCTGAACCTATGTTGCTTTAGTATAGTCTATTTCCTTTCACTAAGAATTGAATCATGGAGTGGTGTTACGAGTCAAAAATAAATAAATAAATAAATAAAATAATTTAAACTGCAAGAAGTTGGGGGCTTTGTTGTGTTTCCGGTTGCTCAGAATAGTGCTTGGTACATAATAAACACTAAATAGATTTTCAATAAATAAGTAAATTTCATCCAGGAAATTAGTTGCATAACATCAGATGAATAAACATGGGTTTGGAGTTTCTCATGATGTCAGTAACACAATAAAATTGGTGTAAAATTATTGGAAGAAGGATGCTTTTCACATGGGCAACTTCAGTATGAAAGTGCATTTATTTGGGAGGGAAAAACGTTCTAGAAAAATAATTGGAAATGTTAGCAAACAGCACAGATTAGCTGTGGACATAGCAGGGGCAAGCCCAGCAGAGACACTGCTTTATGTTACAAGCTTTTCTCCCTTGCTTTCTAAATTTACGTAACATAGAGTGCCTTCCTGAAGTCGGTATATAGCCCTGTGGTTAAAAACATAGGTTGTGGAGACACATTGCATAGGTTGTGGAGACACATTACTTGGGTTTCAAATCCCAGATTTGCCACTTCTTAGCTGTGTGACACCCTGGGCAAATCACGCAGTCCTTGTATGCCATACTTTTTGACTGCAGATGGGAATGATAATAATGGTACCTCTTCCACAGAGTTGTTGTGAGGACTAAATCAATAGATAAGTGTGGAAGACTTAACTTTTTTTTTTTTTTTTGAGATGGAGTCTTGTTCTGCACCCGGGCTGGAGTGCAATGACGCAATCTCAAGTCACTGCAACCTCCACCTGCCAGATTCAAGCGATTCTCTTGCCTCAGCCTCCCGAGTAGCTGAGATTATAGGCACCCACCATCATGCCCGGCTAATTTTCGTATTTTTGTAGAGACGGGGTTTCACCGTGTTAACCAGGCTGGTCTTGAACTCCTGACCTCAGGTGATCCACCCATCTCGGCCTCCCAAAGTATTGGGATTACAGGCATGAGCCACCACACCCAGACTTAACATTTAATATAATAATGTACGTCATTTCCAAATACGGAATGTTAAGAAATCACTAGTTCTTCCAATTCTTCTCATCACAAAACTCCAGAAAATATCGAAGAGAAAGGGGATCATTTCTCCTGGACTTGTGCAATTGTTCCTTTTGATTCTATCTGTGACATCAAACTGTTATCATCTTGGTAATCTAGGCCATATATTGAGTGCTTTTCTTTAAGTTCAGCTGTTTCGGCATGTTTTAAAACACCACCTATGTTTTCAGAGTTGCATTTTAGATAAGACCCATGTAAAGTTAAGAGCTGAATTAAAATATGATTCAAGAGGTCATTTCCTCTGTCCCTTTGCTTTAATTTTAAATACAGGCTTGTAGACAAAAAGGATTGATTTTATTTTACAAATTAATTTGGAGTATTGTCTTAGCAGTAAAAGCTTATGCCCTCATTTCTTTATATTATAGATTTAAACTACATTTAGCTGCTGGGTTTTACACATTTACCTGGGCTCCCAGGTGTGTCTGGTTTGCTTTTCTACCACTTGATTTTTAACACATTTTATGGTACTTAATATTTTCTTCCTGATTGGTGTCTCTCTAAGAATGGTGAAATGGGTAATGTGTTTGCCAGTGGAGAGTAATGTTGTCTTCAGTTTTGAATCTGGGCTCCTGCTTATAGTAAGACAATGATTTGAGTGCATTTCTTTAAAAAGATTCACCATCACAGCTGGAATTATGGTTAAGATATATGATTATGGAACTTGAACACAGCGGCTTTTAAATTACCTCTTTATACCAAGTTTACGAACAGCTGTTTGGCCCTGGCACAGGAAAACCTGTTGATGGGACAAACATTGCACATGTGTACATTTTGATGGAAATAGCCATTAGGGTTCATTGTGTTTATATAAGTCTTAGAGCCGATAACCAGGATTTAGGACACAAGAAAAAATATTTTTTTCACAGTTCTCAAGTGAGTGCGTACTAATCTTCAACAAAAATCATACTTTGTAGTACAAAACTAATGATAGATTTTGACTTTTGAAATTGTTGAAAAAAGTATCTTCCTTTGAGTCTTAATTTCAAGTGAAATATGCCGAGTTGTAGTTTGCTTTTAAGGTTTTTGGTGCTTAAATTATGTGACATAAACATTCAAATTATTTTTCTAGATAATGCTTTCTGCATGCTAGATAGGATTATTTCCCTCTTCTTTTAATTAGTTACTTAATTAGTAATTTTTAATGGTGTTGTAAGCACTCAAGCTCATCTTACCCCCAAAATCTATGACCTTGACCATAGCCCATACTTATGCTTTTATTTTCTTTAAGATGTCTTTTGATGACCAACTTAAAAATTTTTAGTCTTATTAAAGTTATCAATCTTTTGACTTATAGTCAATTAGTTCTATATCTTGCTTAGGAGCTATACAGAATTTGTGTTTCCAAGTCATTTCTGACTTGAATGAGCTAAATAAACAGAACATGTCTATTGGAAATTATTTTTTAAACCAGAAAATACCAATTTCATTACCTATCTTTTAAATAAGCAGAAAGGGTTCCCTTTCTAAGCTCCTATCCATGTGGTTCCCAATTAATTTATAAGTGAAATAATATCCCCAGTAGTTTTGGAAAATAAAGAAAACTACTCTCCTTTTGAGAGTAAGTTTCCCCCATGAAAACAGAGAAAAATGTGTTCTTGAAGCTTAACCAGACTTCAGTTTTCCCTGATTATGTCCAAAAACAAATTAATTTTTATCCCGTGACTTTTTGTGGTATTCCATTTTAGCCTTTTTCTTAGTGTGGTACAGTAGGGCTAACTCCCAAATACAAAGTTACCAGCTGATGGCTCTGCATTTGGTGATTAAGAAAGGGAATCTGGTGCCAGAAAGTGAATATATAAACTTTGGATTGAGTTGTACTGTTTAGCTTCCATAATGAATATTGGAGTATTTCACTGGCAAATTCATTTTTTCCCCATCTGGTAAAAGCATCTAGGTATCCCATAAATATTTATATCTGGAAAAAAATCAAGATCCTTTAAGCAAAATGTGGCCTGGTAGGTGCAGAGACACGTATATTAAACTGCCTATGCCAACCATAGTAGTTCAACTATTTTTTTTTTTTTTTTAGGTAAAGGCATATTCAACTTGTTTATGAACACTTCTGTATTTTGGTTTTCATTATATGTGTTAAAAAAAACAAACAAACAAAGATTTTTCTAAGCCAGCAAGAAGTTAAAAAGGATACAAGAAACCCACCCCCAAAACCCCTCTGCCTGCCACACACACTTAATGATCTCTAGTCCTAATATGAAAATTCAGCAGAGTTAAGCAGTTCTTTGGAAGCACAGACTAGAGTACGAAGCAATGTTGCAGTAGGTACTAAAAGTATTAGTCTGTTCTCACGCTGCTAATAAAGACATACTGAAGACTGGGTAATTTAAAAAGGAAAGAGGTTTAGTGGACTCACAGTTCCACATGGCTGGAGAGGCCCCACAATCATGGCAAAAGACAAAGGAGAATCAAAGGCACATCTTACATGGCGGCAGGCAAGAGCGCATGTGCAGAGGGAATCTCCCTTTTATAAAACCGTCAGATCTTGTGAGACTCATTCACTATTCTGAGAACAGCATGGGAAAGACCTGCCCCCATTATTTAATTACCTCCCACTGGGTCCCTCCAATGACACGTGGGAATTATGGGAGCTGCAATTCAAGATGAGATTTGGGTGGGGACACAACCAAACCATCTTGATATTGTTAAGGCTTTGTGAAACACTTGGAGAATATTCCTGTGTCTTGGCTCTGTGTGAATAGAAATGGTGAATTTCCCCTAAGGAAGCACAGATCTATCCTAGATCAGACAGCCTCCTCCATTTTTATAGAGGCTTAGCCATATGCCCTCTGCATTTCCACAGCATTGCTGTGAGTTGGGCCTTCTCTGATGGTAAAACATAGGTAACATGGCCACTGGGCATCCTCTTCTGAATCTTTGTCCTGAATCCTAATTGAGCCATTAAAAAAATCAATTATTTACGTGATCTTTAGGAACAAAATTTACTGTCACATATACATAATATGCGAAAAACGTTTGACTTTGGGGAAATTCTTTGGCCTTTTCCCAATTATCTTGTTCCAAAAGCCCTTCCTTCTTTAGAAAAAGTCTCTGTATCTTTCTTGGATTAAATATGCAGCTGTAACGTTTCGTTGAATTCAGAAAGCCCGTATTTCTCTTTTCCTATCACTTCCTCTAGCATAAATTTATCAGGATAGGAGAGCCGTCTTTTTGCCTCCTGGCTGTCTTCCCATCTCGGCTGACTGGCACACACTGGTGTTGCTAAGACCTTTCCTGGAAAGAATCAACAGGCGAAAGCCCACAGCTGGATGCTTTTGCACAGACACTACTTTCTAAAATACACAGAAGGCTGAGTTGCCAGGATGGTATGAACCTGCCCAGTATTTTCCTAACTATTTCCAGAGCACTGGCTCTACTGCCAACCGTTACCACAATTTTTTTTCTAGTAAAATACATTTAAGGGAAGAGTTGTAAAAAATGGCTGCTCCTATGGGAATGTTTTTGTATTCTTAGCACTAAGTTGTCTAAAAGACGTTAAGATGGACTCTTTTTGAAGTTACTGTGACAGTAACACATGCGTTTTTCTGGTTTGTGCTTTGCAGAAGTGAAATTTGTCTGTCAAACTCCAGCGATTGCTGACATTGTAATCCTGGTCGATGGTTCATGGAGTATTGGAAGATTCAACTTCAGACTGGTTCGGCTTTTCTTGGAAAACCTGGTTACAGCATTCGATGTGGGCTCAGAGAAGACACGAATTGGTATAATTTCTATTATTAGCAGTAGCAGTCAGCTGTCAGTGCAAAACCGCTGGGAAGTGTTTTAAGAAATTTCAAAAATTCCTTACAAAGTGACTTTCAGGATTGCAGGATACTCATCATCTCCAAAGCACATGTTTCAATCAATAAATATTTATTCCTTCTAATTTTTGCAATGACAGTGTCATTCAATTAATTATTGAACATATTTTAATTTTCTGAAAAGTCAAGATCTTCTCTGTTAATAATAAAAATAAAACTTTAAAAATTACAGCTGGTTTAAGAATTTATTGCATAGCAGTTTTCTTTTTATTTAAAAGAAATAACTAAATCTAGGAAAATGTTGAACTAGAAAATTGGCAGTCATTTTATAGTACAAGATAATCTTTGCCAAATTAATTCTAGCCCAGATAACAAGCAAAAAAGTTGTAAATCTTTGAGCAATATTACAAATAATAAAAATAATAAATCTTTGTTAAACAAAGTCTCCTAGTTTAACTTTTAAATAGCCATTAAGAAAAATCACTCCTTTGAGAATAAATCAACAACAAATAAATCTAGGCCTTTTGTCTACAAACATGATCAGGTTTTTTTTTTTAATGCCAAGTACCTAATTGGGTACTCATTTATAAATGGCTAGAAAATCACTCCCTCGAACCCCGTATATGTTTAACTTGATTCCTTTAATTCATCTTACTCAGCAAGTCTTTCTGAAAATTTATAGCCGGGCCAAAAATATATATATATATTGCAAAGATGAGGCCTTTCGTCGTTCTAGTTTCTTGAGTAGCTCACTACATTTTTGAGTAACCCATTATTCCTGGTGAATTTCCTAATCTTTTTTTCCAGGTCTTGCACAGTATAGTGGCGACCCCAGAATAGAATGGCACTTGAATGCATTTAGCACAAAAGATGAGGTGATTGAAGCTGTCCGAAACCTCCCATATAAAGGAGGAAATACACTAACAGGTATATTTTGTTCAATCCATGTTATAACAACATATCTTTTTGAAAAATAATTGTATTACCTCATTTTGCCACTTTGTGTTATCATAATGTTTTAATTAAACTAGCACTTAGGATTCTTTGATGACGGTTTTCCCAAATTCAGCATTGAGATAAAAGCCAGATATCTCATTCCTTTTACTCTATGACTCTAATGTTTCAGGAAGGGCTTGGTTGGGTTAGGAGAAAATGAAGCAAGCCCTGAGACCAACAGAGTGGAGTAGCTGTCTGACTTTTGTCAGCTACTCTCTTCACTGCTTTTCTCCTCCTGCCATCCTCCACCCTGTTATTTAAATAGAAACAAATCTCTTCTTATTTTCAAAGGAGATATTTTCTTTGCCCTTATTCTGCAATCAGTAGTTATCATGAAGATATTATGATATAATTTTCTGAAAAGTCAAGATCTTCTCTGTTAATAGTAATACGGATCTTTGGCTCACTAGTATTTTTGATGAATGATGAATATAAGAATATTTACATTATAATCATCCATGGCACAGTCACAAAGGGTTTGTAAAAATTTTAACCTCGAGACATGCTGCAAGCTGAGCATCCCAACTCTGAAAATCCAAAATGTTTGAGTGCCAACATGATGCTAAAAAAATGCTCATTGAAGCATTTCAAGTTTTTATTGTTTAGATTTGGGCTGCTCAACCAGAAAATATAATGCAAATATTCCAAAATCCAAAAATACCTGAAATCCAAAACTATTCTGGTCTCAAGGATTTAATAGTGGATATTCAACCTGTATTGCCTACCACAGGTACATATTAGAGATGCTCAGATGAAACAATGTAGATGTTGTTATTGATTTTTATGCAGCAAACAATTTATTAAACACAAATCCTATAACAATATTGCACCATTTCGTATTTTTTTCTGGATGGAAAGTGTCATACACACAAGGCAGGAGTATGATTAATGATTTTAGATCTGTCCCTTCTACTCCTAAAAAACAAAGAGAGGGATTTTTCGGTTCCTTAGAATATCACGAACAAATTGAAAACCTAATGATAACGCACTGCTGTGTGAGTATTCTTGCTTCATCCTAAATTATAAAGGTTCAGATCTGCTTGTACACAATATCTGTTATCATCCATTGGCCATGAATTCAGAGTTCTTTATAAATGCTAGTTTCTGAAAGAATGCAGTGTTTAATTATTTTCATTACCTTTATTCCAGTGGATTTTAGTTCCTTGTTGAATCTGTGAAAGACAAGGTTATTATAACAATGAAGATTCACATGTAATAAAAACTCCTGTGGCTCAATAGGTTACCCATCTTGTGGTTGTATTTTGGAGAATTTGGAGACTTTTTATTAGAGATGGCTGGTGTTTACTTTTCCTTGTTTTCTACAAGGTCTTGCTTTGAACTACATTTTTGAAAATAGCTTCAAACCTGAAGCAGGATCAAGGACTGGAGTATCCAAAATCGGCATTTTAATCACAGATGGAAAATCCCAGGATGACATTATTCCACCATCTAGAAACCTTCGTGAGTCTGGTGTAGAACTGTTTGCCATAGGTATGTGCTCTTTTTAGTCTTGTTTCAACTAAGGTCATAGACCCACAGCCACTTAAAACAATATGTAATGTGAAATACACTTCACTGAAAGCCAGGAGACCTGAGCACTTTCTAGTCTTGGCCCTTGCCATAGGCAGCCCTGTGATCTGAGCCCAGCTTCCTTACAGTTAAAATGGGAGTGATGCTAGCTGTCATGTTTCCCATGGTGTGAGGATTTCTAAGTGAGGTGTCATGTATAAAATGCTGCAAAAAGCATAAAGTGGCATGCAAAGGCCTGGTATATGTTTGTTACTGTTTAATAAGTCAAGACTTTCCTTGAGGGTCACAGCTATCTTTTTTCTGGCAGTATAGGAAGACTCTAATTTATCATTTTCAAGGAATTAGGGTCCTGCAACTACATAAAGAAGACACAAAGTCCAAGATTTGTAGTAGTTCTTATCGGAAACTAACCCTTTATAAGGTATCCTTCTTGTGTGAAAAAGCATATATATATACACATATATATACACATATGTGTGTGTGTGTATATATATAGCATACATTTGGAATAACTGCAAAATATTTAGATGATGCAACTTTGCTGTTGATTAAAATGTTAACATTTTCTTTGGCAACGGGAAGGTCTTCTATTTAGTAGAGAACAACAAACTTTCTCAGCAGAAAAAATGCCTGATTCCCAAGCAACACTGAAATACAAACCAAAATATAACAGCAAATTCCTTAATAGGGCTCTGAAGACATTTGAAATGGGTTATCATGAATGCTCCCTTTTATTATGTTTTACATATTTATTTTATTTGTGGTAAGTCTTTAGTCCAAATAAAATGCATTTATCTTCCTGCATTTATCAAGAAGATGGTGCATGTTTCTTTTTGTGAACTTCCCATGAGATGTTTCTTCTATCAAAAGAGAGTAATCTCTACCCTGGAGTTCCATACCCAGTTATAGTGGGTGCTGGCATAAAAACTACGTATTTCAGAGTACTTCTACTGCTGTGAAATGGAACTATCCAGGGAGAAGGGGCCTGGGAATACGTGTTTTGAAACCATACCCAGATCTGTATCTTAAAATTATTCTCCAGGGTTGAGAACTACTGGTAAGCCCACAGGAATATCTCCTCTGTGTATATTGGTTAAGTTTCTCTCCCTTAGAGAAAGATCCTGAA